ACGCCACACTAATTGGGGAAATTCCAGCATTTCAAGGGATATTGCACTAGATCTAAAAATTCCTCCCAGATCTAAGGCTGTAAACCCTACAGCCCATACTCCTGGCTAAGGAGTATAATGAAAAGAGAAAGATATTCCCAAAAATGTCCTTGGGCTAAAATTGATGTAAAATGGAGATAATGCTTATTGCGGTAAGGCTGAGTCAGATAAGATTCTCCTCTTCTCTGCTCCCATAGAACCCCAAAATTATACAGGCAGTCCTCGGGTTACCTTGGACTCGACTTACGTCGTTTCATGGTTATGTCGCCATCTCCCATTTACAGTCTACATATAAAAAAAGTTTCCATCATTTCGATGTATGCACATATGTGCTTTATGTTTATTATTATTTATTTCCCACAAGTAAAGGTCAGGAATTGTTATCTTTCTTTTAAATTCTTTTTACTGTTTCGCTTCATTACTGCTGTGCATGTGCTCCATGAGAGTGACGTAGGAGCTTATGTGGGTGGGTTCCGACTTACCGTGAAAATCGAGTTGCGCCATAGGAGCTGATCTCCAACTTAACCTGAGGACTGCCTGTACCTCATTCTCCTAAGCTAGTTCCTCCTCATCTCCCTGAACTTTTAAACATTAGGAAGGCTCCAGGGCGCAACCCTCTGACTTAACTCTGCTTTATTTAACTGACACTCTGGCTTTAAATACCCTCTATAAACTGAGAACATCCATATATATAATCTCCAGTCTGGAAGTCTCTAAATCCCAGACTTGTATATCTTTTTATGGTTTTAGCTCTTAAATATTTAGGTCATTAATCTAAATATGGGTCACTTTGAGTTTATTTCTAGATATGGCTATGAAGAAAGACATCTATTCCTGAATGTCTATCAGGTGTCTTAAACTTCACGTCTCAAACCAAACCTTTAATATTCCCCAACTAAACCATTTAACAAATTCTGTTGGCTTCATCTTCAAAACATAACCCAAATGCAACAACTTACCGCCACCTCCTCCTCTACTAACCTAATTTATTGCAATTGCCATTAACTGGTCTTCTGTTCTCACCTTTGCTTCCCTTCAACAAGCAGCCAGCGATCCTGTTTAAAGCGTAAGTCTCTGCTCTAAACCCTTTGATGACTTCCTATCTCATTCAGAATAAATGTCCAAAGTGCTTCCCATGGCCTACAATGTCCTAACCAATTTGTCCCACACATCCCCTCCCCCGTCACACACACTTTTCTGGTCTCATCTTTTCCCTCTCGCTCCTTCCTTAAACCAGCTCTAGCAGTCCTCTAAGAGGGGAGCCAGGCCCCCCTTTGCATTTACTGTTTCCACAGACTGGGATGCTCTTCCCGTAGAACTCTTCATGGCTAGCCCCCTTACCTACCACTGGTCTTTGCTCCAATTCAACTTCTTGGTGAGGCCTTCTCTGATTGCCTTATTTACAATAGCAAGTGTGCCTCCTCTGCTCCTCCTTACTCCCCCGCCCCACAACACGCGCGGTTTCTCCATCGTACTGCATTTATCACACCTGACACATTACATGTGTCTGTTGCCCCCCACCAGAATGTAAACTCCACGAATTGTTCATTCATACACTCCCAGTGCTCAGAACAATGCCCGGCAAGCACATAGTAGGCCTTCCGTAAATATTTGTGGAACTAACAAATACAAAGCATGTCATATTACAATCGTCTGCTTATACTTGTGTCTTTAATGGACTGTGTGCTTTCTGCAAACAACACTCATTCCCTTGTGAATTTCCAGCACCCAACACACAGCGGGTGTGTTGATTTGAAATGACTAAATCAGTGGTTCTCAACCTTCCTAATGCCACAATCCTTTAATACAGTTCCTCATGTTGTGGTGACCCCCAACCATAAAGTTATTTTCGTTGCTACTTCGTAACTGTAATGTTGCTACCGTTATGAATCGTAATGTCAATATCTTATCTGCAGGATGGTCTTCGGCGACCCCGGTGAAAGGGTCGTTCAACCGCCAGTGGGGTCGCGACCCACAGGTTGAGAACCGCAGGACTAAATCAACGACAGGCCAAGGGGCAATCCTCCGCCTTTCGAGCAGCCCCTACGCTGTCACCCTCTAAGGGAGGGTGCGTAAGGGACTCAGGAAGAGGTCCATACCAGTGCCTATCCTTCGCGTCACTCCCCTCACCCCCCACACCGTTATCCTCGCAATAACCGAACCAGAGATCGAGCGAACGACCGGAGCTAGAATTCCCACGATCAGGATCCGGGAGGAAGCAACTGAGCCTTAGCCTAAGATCAAAGAAGGGGGCCGGACCCCGACAAGAAACCCCGTCCCGGGGGTGGTGCCCAGAAGAGGAAAGAGCCGGGTGACCACACTCTTTTGACAGCTGGGGAAACGGAAGCCCAGAGGAGAAAGCGCCTGGTCCGAAATCACACAGCACGCGAACCGGGCCGGGAACCCACCTGAACCCGCCCGCGCGCCGCCCCGGGGGCCTCTCACT